TCTCTGGCAGAGAGCAACCCTGCCACTTTTCGCAGCTGGCCATTATCTGTGAATTTTTGGGCTCTGGTGCTATAAGCTAGCAATCCCTGCTTATGATTTAGACCCCGCTCATCTCAGGGGGATCCAACTGGCTGTTTCAATATCCTTCTGGTGCTGCCATCTGTGGGCGCCCCACCCACCTTCTCAAGTCTCTACCACACTCCTTACCAGTCAGGTTGTGCTAAAGCTGATTCTTCTGTCTGTCCAAGGTTATAAGGCTCCTCTCTCGCTTTTGTTCAGTTGTTTGTTCCAGGTGATTTCTCCACAATTTAGTTGTAATTCCAGATTGGTCCTGGGGGGAGGTCAGTGTGACTTCCACTCACTCATCCACCATCTTGATTGTCTATTTTGAATTAATTTGTATATATAGCACGAGGTAGCTGTCCAACTTTATGTTTTTGTATATGGATTTCCAGTTGTCTCAGCACCATTTGCTGAAAAGACTCTTTTCCACCATTAAATTATCCTGCCACTCATGTCAAAAATCAATTAACCATAAGTGTAAGAATTTGTTTCTGAATTTCTCTTCATCCTAGTATGACACCGTCTTGACTAATGTGATTTTTTTTGGCAAGTTTTAAAATTGGAAAGTTCATCCTCCAACTTTGTGCTTTCTTTTTGCAAGATCATTTTGGCTATCCGGGGTCCCTTGCATTCCATTTGAATTTTAGGATCTGCTTGTCAATTTTTGCAGAAGAGGCAGCTAGGATTTTTTAAAGGGATTGTATTAAATCTATAGATCAATTTCAGGAGTGTTGCCATTTAACAATATTAAGTTAATTCATGAACACGGGATGTCTTTTCATTTATGTCCTTTTTAACTTCTTTCAAAGAGGTTTTGTAGTTTTTAGTGTATGTCTTGAAATTCTCTTGTTAATTTTATTCCCAAATGTTATATTCTTTTTGACACCATTGTGAAAGAAATTGTTCTTTCAATTTCAGATTATCCATTACCTGTATATAAAAATACAATTAATTTTTACATTTTAATCTTGTATCCTGTAATTTTGCTGAACTTGTTTATTAGTTGCAATAGTTTCTGTGTGTGTGAATTCCTTAGAATTTTTTATATACAAGATTATGCCATCTGTAAATAGAAGTAGTCTTATATCTTTCTTTCTAATCTGTATGCCTTATTTTTCTTGCATAATTGCCCAAGCTAGAACTTCTAGTACAATTTCCAATACTAGTGACAAGAATGCATATCATTGCTTTATTCCTGATCTTAGCAAAAATGCACCCAGTCTTTTACCATTGAATTTGATATCACCTATGAATTTTTCATAGATGGCCTTGTCAGGTTGAAGAAATTGCCTTCTCTTCCAAGTCTGTTAAGCATTTTTACCCTGAAAAGCTGATGCATTTCGCTGAACACTTTTTCTGTGCATATTGAGATGGCCATGTCTCTCTTTGTCCTCTATTCTATGTGATATATTATGTTGATTGATCCTGTATATTAAACTAACCTTACATTACTGAGATAAACCCTCCTGCTTATGGTATATGATCTTTATTACATGGTAATGGATTTGGTTTGCTAGTATTTTATTGATAAATTTTATCTATATTCTTAATGGGTATTGATGTGTAGTTTTCTTCTCTCATGATGTCATTTTTTGACTTTGGTATCAGGGTAGTACTGGCCTCATAGAACGAGTTGGTAAATGTCTCCTCTTCTATTACTTTTTAAAATTATTTTTAATTGTGATATAATATACATAAAGTATGTCATCTTAATCATTTTTCTTTTTTTAATCCTCACCCAAGGACATGCTTATTGATTTTAGAGAGAAGGGAAGAGAGGAGAGAAGGAAGAGAAATATCAATATGAGAGAAACATTGATCGGTTGCCTCATGCATTCGCCCTGACTGGGCATCAAACCCAAAACCTAGATATGTGCTCTAACTGGGAATCAAACCTATGAACTTTCAGTTTACAAGAAGATGCTCCAAACAACCAAACCGCAGTGTCCAGGGTTCATCTTAAACATTTTTAAAACTAGAATTCTGTGCTATTAAGTCCTTCTGTTTTACATTAACAGGGATTCATGAAAGATTTATTTTAAATCCTTATTGAAATACTTGGTAGATGTGTCAATGAAGCCATCTGGGCCTAGGCTCTCTTTCTGAAAAATTTTTGTTTTATTAATGCAGTCATTTTATTTCTTATAAGTATTCAGATTCTCTACTTTATCAATCAGTTTTGGCAGTCTGTGACTTTGTGGGAAGTTATTCATTCATCCATGTCATCCAACATGTTAGTTTTCTCAGTATTTTTTTATGATCTTTTTACTTCTGTAAGGTCAGTAGTGATATCCCCTCTTCTTTGCTGATTTCAGTGACCTGAGTCTTTTTTGATCAGTCTAGCTATAGAATTGTCTATTTTATTAATCTTTTCCAAAAATCACTTCTTATTGATGCTTTTATTTTTCTTCTTTCATTTTATTTATTTCTGCTCTAGTATTTATTATTTCCATCTTTATCTTTACCTTCAGTATAGTTTGTCTTAAAGTTCTATAAGGTTACTTATCTGAGATTTTTTTCTTTTTAAATATAGAGGTTTCCAGACTCAAATTGTTCTGTATGCATTGTTTTTACCTGTATCTCATAAGTTTTAGTAGGCTCTGTTTCTATTTTTTTCTCCCAAACAATTTTCTAATTTCCCTTATTATTTCTTCATGAACCATTGATTATATAAGAGAGTGTCAGCAAGTCAGAGAACTCATAAAACAAAGGCCGCTGTAATCAAAACAGTCTGGTACTTGCATAAGAACAGACACATAGATCAATGGAACAGAATAGAAAGCCCAGAAGTGAACCCATTTCTATATGGTCAATTAATATTTGACAAATGGAGCAGAAGCTTAAAATGGAGTAAAAGTGGCCTCTTCACAAATGGTGTTTGGAGACCTAGACAGCTACATGCAAAAAAATGAAATTCAACTACCAACTTACACCATACATAAAAATAAACTCGAGATGAATAAAAGACTTAAATATAAGTCACAACACCATAAAAGTCCTAGAGGAGAACATAGGCAGGAAACTCTCAGATTTTCCACACAGCAATATTTTCACCAATATGTCCCCTAAAGCAAAGGACATAAAGAATAAACGAATCGTACTTCATCAAAATAAGAAGCTTCTGCATTGCTAAAGAAAACATCATCAAAACAAAAAGGGAACCAACCATATAGGAAAATATATTTGCCAATGATATCTTGGGCAATGGTTTGATCTCCAAAATATATAAACTCATACAACTCCATTTCAGGAAGACAAACAATCCAATTAAAAAATGAGCAAAGGGCCTCAACAGACACCTCTCCAAGGAGCACATATAGAGGGCCCAAAGGCATATGAAAGGATGCTCAGCATCACTAGCCATCTGAGAAATGCAAATTAAAACTACAATGAGATACCACTTCACACCTGTCAGAATGACCATCATAAATAAATCAACAAAGAAAGGGTGCTGGCAAGGTTGTGGAGAAAAGGGAACCCTAGTCCACTGTTGGTGGGAATGCAGACTGGTGCAGCCACTGTGGAAAACAGTTTGGAATTTCCTCAAAAAGCTAAAGATGGAACTGCCTTTTGACCCAGCAATTCCACTGTTGGGATTGTACCCTAAGAATCCTGAAACACCAATTCAAAAGAACCTATGCACCCCAATGTTCATACACTACCCATGTTTTAAGAATGACTACAATTTTATGCAGAATATGCCACTAATTTATAAAAGCTCTTTTATCTGAAATATTATGTAAAAATATAAAGTGAATTAGCAAAGAAACAACAGAATCTGAAAGGGAACTAAAATGTAAAAACCGTCTTATTTTCTAAATTAGTTATGTCTCAGCCACTTTCCTACTGAAGTAAATATGGTGGTAGTGGTGTTGGAGTTGGAGTTGGAGATGGTGATGGTGATGGTGATGGTGGTGGTAGTGGTGGAGATAGAGATGGTGGTGGAGATAGAGATGGTGATGGAGGTGGTGATGATGATGGTGGTGGTGATAGAGATGGTGATGGAGGTGGTGATGATGATGATGATGATGGTGATGGTGATGGTGGTGGTGATGGTGGGGTGGTGGAGATAGAGATGGTGATGGAGGTGGTGATGATGATGATGATGATGATGATGATGGTGATGGTGATGGTGGTGGTGGAGATAGAGATGGTGGTGGAGATAGAGATGGTGATGGTGGTGGTGATGATGATGATGATAATCTTTTGCTTTACTAAGTACTAATTATGGGTCAGGCATTGTGCCAACTAACCTACATATCATATAAACTACATATTATGCGATTTTAAGCCTAAGACAAGTCTGTAGGTAAATATTATATTTCTAACTTTATAGTACAGAGATTGAAATCCTGAGGAGCTCCATAATTTGGTCCTCAAATTAAGAAGTAATTTTTTAAGTAACATATATTTGAAATAATATAGAAATAATCTTTGGTGTGACACCAAATTCAAATAACACTGATAGTGAGATCCTGAATCTTAGGATCAAACAATATGAACAAACCAAAATGATGAGAAATTTTGCTAACAGACAGCTTTAAAAAAGAAAGAAAATATTTATCCCATCACAAACAGAAATACGCTTTATTCAGAAAATGGAAAAATAGTTACAGATGCCCAGGTGGTAGAAACCCCAGCCTCTAGGGGACAGACAGACACAGAATCCATCAAGAGAACCCTCTGCTGCTCTTCCTTCTGAAGCTGGGGGACACTGACACAGCTGAGGACTGTCCTTTCTTAGCCTCCTCCAGAAGAGTAGCAGGAGAGCAGCCTCAGGAGAAAATCATTCGCTGTCAGGATTCATCACAGGCTTATTACAGGCTGAAGGGTGGATGAGCTCCTTCTGCATCCATGATGGGCTTTAAAGAAAAGATGAAGGAGGGCTGTGGAACCAGGTGAGCCAGCTGTTCTTATCCTTTCCTGGTCCTGGTGAACGCTGGAACTGTTACTTGCTCTTGGGTGGGCACTTCTGCTGGCATGGTGGAGGAGGTTGCACAGGAGGGCATTTCTGCTGGCACAGCTGAGGTGGGCATGGCTCAGGGCACTTTGGGAGTGGGCATGGCTCAGGGCACTTTGGGGGTGGGCACGGCTCTGGGCACTGAGGTGGGCACTCGGGAGGTGGCTGGCAGGGCTGCTTGCACTGCTGCTGTTGATAAGACATCTTTCTGGAGCCTTTGAATCTGAAAGGAATTACATGACAGTGGTCACAAGAAGGCACTCCTACAGAGAGAGTACCCAACACTTAGGTAGTACTGTGAGATTTATCTCTTCAGCCTCCAAGAACATGCTTTGTATCTTAGCTCCCTTTTTTGAGTTCTGGCTTCTCCCTTCTTCTTTTGCAAATTACTTCAGCAGCCCTGAGAAAAACCCTCTCTTCTCTCTTACCATTTTTCCAAAGAAAATATTTTTGTTTTGAATAATTGAATCATGATTTTTGCAAGAAAATAACATCTTCCAAAAAGTCCATCACAAGTTCTGAAATCCTGAGCACCTCACAAGCAACTCCCCTCATTTCTATCTCATGTGAGGTCCCAATAGGCTGACAGGTACAAAGCAAAGGTCCCTTCAGGAATAATACAAGGGTCTCACACTTTCTAAGAGATAAGCATTTAAGCTCACAGACAACAGAAGGGACACCAAAAAGATACAGAAAACAAAAAAATACTTCTATCTATTCTCTCCTTCAAATCAAAGCTTTTCTATTAATTTTTTTCTTATTAATTTGGTAAAAATTATTCACCAAAAACCAACTGAAAAGAGAGTATCATTATGCCCCAATTCTAAGTTTCCATCAAATAAGTAACATCAAACCAATGATTATGATTTTAGACACACAAAACTTGCTGTCTGTAGATAAATTCAACAGCTGAGAGCACCAGGAAACAGTTGAACTCAAGAAATCAGACTCACCGGGTCCCCAAAGTAGATCAGAATTCAAGTGCTGGGAGGATTGGAGTCGCACAGCCTACGATGTCTTTATAGGGCCTGCTGCTCCACCCAGGGGGGAGTGAAGGTGCCTGAAACTGACCTGGTCCAATAATTTTCCATCCAAAATGCAAATCCATTCGTAACTGGCTTGACAGGAACTCTGAAAACAGAACATATCCTGCTCCCAGATCTCCTCACTGGCCTACGTGCTCATGACTCACAGAGGCCCTGCCTTAGCTCTTGGGAGAATTTGGGGTATTCTCTAACTGGTGGTCAAAGACTCTCTTTGTTGATTGGAAGCGATAATCCTTTCCCATCTCCCATGTTCCCTGGTCACAAAACCTTCTGCCTTGATCCACTGCAGCTGGTTGTCATTTGTTACACATGCTGGGTTGAAAGAGCTTAGCTAAATGATGACATCTTTCTCTTTACCCAAAACTTCCTTAAATGTATTTCTCCTTGATCCTGGGGGCTGCTGACCTAAGTTCTTTTTTCTTCTTTTCAAATGGACTGAGGTAAGGCTGCAGATCATCTCAGTAGATTCCCCATAATGATACTAGGAACACTGAGTAAAATGTGACCTCCAGAGTTCTATTTTCAATGCTTCAGTCCTGCAAATAGGGGACATATAGCTGATTCCTCTATTCTTTATAAATCTGCACCATATGGCCACATGGAATCTACTAGGACCACACTTTAGCTGCTGTAATTCGGATGTTCTAGCAAGCTCACACAGTCCCTAGACCTACATCAGAGAGGAAGCTCCTTGCTCACAACTCCCCAATACGACACACTACCTGCTCCTACTTACTTTCTCTCAACTAACTTCACTCCTTTAACTTTTAAAGAGAACATGGAGAGTTGTTCAAACATTCTTGCATTCTCTCCCTTGGAATCCACTGGCACACTCCATCTTATAAGCAATGTCATTCAAATAACCAATTTTATATTTATTTAATATCTACTAATTAATTGACACTTTGACATAGAACCTTTTGGAAAATTCATTACAAAGTTTAAATCACTTTATGAAAAATTTAGTCATTGAAGTTAATTGTCATTTATTTACAACTCCTTACTTATCAATAATAATTTCATTAAATTTTTGCTTATTTTTTGGATTTTTCATATAAGTGAGGTATATGTCCAACGTATCTATTTCTATCTCTACTGCCTTTATACAATTTTTCAGTGTGTTAGAAACAAAATATGACAGTTAATCTATGTGTCCGCTTGACTGGCAATGAGATGTCCAGATATTTGGTCAAGCATTGTTCTGGGTGTTTCTGTGAAGGTGTTTTTGAATGGATTAATATTTACATCAGTAAACAAAGGAAAGAAGATTGCCCTGTAGAATGTGGTTGGCCTCATTCAGTCGGTAAAAGGCCTGACTAAAACAAAAAGGCGAACGCCCCTGAGTAAGAGATAATTCCACATCCTAAAGATCTTCAAACTGAGACATTGGCTCTGCAGATTTGGACTTGCCAGCCTTTATACTCACATGATCCAATTGCTATAATAAATTGACCTCTCCCCTTCTCTCTCTCTCCATCTCTTATTTGTCTTTTTCTCTAGAGAACCCTGTATAAATCTGAAGAAGAGACCTAAAAAATGCCAAGGAGGTCTGGTCCATGTTCTATCTTTGACAAACCATGTGATAACAGGCAAGTCACCTCCTCTTTTTCTATAAACAGGGAAGAAAAATATCTGTCTCTTAGAGTGGGTGCTGTCATCATGAACCATCTACTCATCCTGCTCATCCTGAAATTCATTCCTCCTCTTTCTTTCTTCCCATAGAACCAGAGATTTGCCTTCTTTTTCCTGCCTCTTGGCACCTGTCTTCTCCATCCCATTCCTGGAAGTGCTTCTGTCCCAGGACAGATTTAAGAGTGGGGATCAGTCTCCTCATCACTGTTCCTCCCTGCTACTCTCAGAGTTGTTAGCTTGAGCCCTTTTGTTAAAAAAAAAAAAAAAAAGGAAAAAGGAAATCTTAATCACCGCTTAATGAAATGCAAAGAAGTGAACAAAAATCACAAGACTTCATTCAAAATCTATTTACTGAACCACACCTGTGCAGTTCCGTCTGATGGTCCCTACAATAGAGGACAAGATGAAGTCCTGCCTTGTTCACAGGTTAATGGGGAACACAGACTGACATACCAGTTATTAGGGTGCACTGTTCTGATTAGCACCCAGAGGAGGCAGTTGAATCTCCTGGGAAATGTGCCCTCAGATTTTCCCCTTCCATCACCTCCAGGTGGAACTTCCCTGGATCCTGGCCCCAGCTTCAGCACCCGGGCCTGCAGATGCTATCCGTCAAAACAGGGGGTACCTGATGAAGTATTTACAAGGACACACACTTCTGTCCTGAGGCCGTTTGTGTTACAAATGAGAGGCGACCTCATGAAGAGGCATTAAAGTAATTTATGAAAAGCCTTTGAAATGTTTCATCTGCCTGGAAAAGAAATGTTTTCTAACAGTCCCCAGTGTGTAACAGTGTCTCTGTAAACTGGAATACCTCCTGTGTTACAGGAGGTGGCCTCACAGGGGCCCAGAATAATTCAAATGTTACCTTCATGTTTGGGTTAATTCTGCATTAAATATATAATTTCAATATTTCATCTACCATTTCATGGACATGATTTCCTATGGCCAATTAAGTCAGAAATTCAAAAGGTTGGTATATAGTGATTTTAAATATAAAAATATTAAGAATAATATATGATACATGTGATACCTAATTATGACAAATATACTGAGCCTCATGGGACTAACTAGAGTTTGGGAAACAATATCCTAATATGTTCTCCAGTTCCGAATACAGGTTTGCTTTCTGCCTTTTCAGAGACAGCTCTCCAATGTTCCTCTACAGTTTCTCTTTTCAGTACTGGACCTGAACTATCCTCTTTTCTTTACTGTCCCATCAGGTACTAAAACATTTATTTTTGAGTCACGGCTGGTGAAAAGGCCCCATCTGGGCGAGGAATAGAGTTAAGACACTGGTCTTATGTTACTGTGGAATGTGGGAACACATTTGTTAAAAGGATCAGAATGGCCCTATCTCACCTACCCCAGCACTACTCTAGCCTGCTCATATTGCAAGAAATTCTTGCAATTCCCTTATCAGAAAATAAAGACTTTTTATTCCATAAATTAATACCAGTTTTTACATTGCAAGAAACTAATATAAAAATACCATTTAATACTCACACCATCACATGAAATGATTAAGAGTACGTGTGAGGAGAGGAGTGAGGATCAGAGCACTAAAAGTCTGAAATCTACATGAAATATGAACATAAGCTGATTGTCTGTATTTGCTTTCTCTCATTCTCTTTACAAATAGGTTTTAGGTCTCTAAAGACAATCATTTTTAAAATACTTTTTCTGTTTATTTTCTGTCTTCCCTAAGCCCTTCAGACCCCTCAACCTGCCACCTTGTCTTCTCACTTCCAAATGTATACGTTTTATTTGTCCAGTTGGTGCGCATGGGTTACCGAAGACATGATGGCAGCGCAATGTGTGATTAGTTCTTCCATATCTTTTCAAAATCTACCTGCAGCCAATAGGGAAGACTGTTGCGTGTTAAAATGTTAAAGCATGTTATGAGAGCTTCCTTGTCTTGGTCAATAATCAAGAAGCTTTCCAAGAACATGGTTTCATCATTGAAAAATAAGGAAGAAGAGAATGAAGAGGAAGGGCAGGCACTGCAAAAGATCACTGAATCAACCCAGCATCACATCCTCTCCCTTAAACAGGTTAGGTTTCCAGATCTGTCATTATTCCTGCCAGTCAGGAAGATGTTTGGGGCCATAACTACCATTGACCATGACCATACAGAGACAGAGACATCAGTTCAGCACCTTAACATGAGATGTCTACGAAGAGTGTCACCGCCAAAAGTTTCGTATAGGATATGTCAGAGGACAAAAAGAAAAGAATTTACCCAACAGGTCACTCGCTACTGACTGCAGTTTTACAGCACATCTAAACATAAATCCTTAGTGAAATCTCAGATTTCTGCCGTCCAAAATTTGAGAATTACCTCCTTAAGGGGATTTCAGTGTCAGATACCCCAGCTTTGGTTGTACTTTGAGGCTATCCCTCTGAGGGCACTGCTCTCAGAAGGCGTGCGAATCATGACAGTGACTCCCACACATCAAGCAGGAGTCACTGTATAGGTTTCCGAGATGAATTTGAACACTCGAGTTTCTCATGATCAGCTACAAGAAA